AAAAATGTAAGGGGCAAAATTGTCCAGGGGGGTACGTAGTAATAGATGGCGGTAATTAGCAACACCTAAAAAAAAAACCACCAAATAATTCTTTTAGAAACTATACATGAATCTACGAAAAGATTAATCTGAAAATTTTCTACAGTTTATAAGGCAAAACCTTTTGTTTCTACAATAAATAAGTCGATAACTTCTGAAATATATCGGTTTTTATTAGATTTTGTAATTGATATAGCCATATTAAGATATACCGGTCGAAGTACTAATTACTCGACTGAGATGATAAGTCAAACCGCCTGCATGTCGATCGGATAGCTCTGAAGTTGACATCCTTAAGTCGACACCCCGACAGTTGACTTCTCTTCATATATTAACTGTGATGGAAGAAGCCGGTTTCACTAAGTCGACAGCATTAAAGTCGACTCCTCTAATTCGACTCCTTAAGTCGGCTTCTATCAACTATCTAGGTCGAGAGCGAATAACTTCAATGTCGGCCTCTATCAAGAAGATGAGAACTATTCGAAGAAGAATGGTAAGAGCCTCTAGATGTATCACTACACGTAAATCCTCAAGCCGGCCTCTTTCTACTCGAGGTCGACTCATTTCTACTCGAGTGGTGACGACTTGAGACACTTGCAAAGTCTCCTAACAAGTCCCCTAAATGAGGGTGAATCTTTAGTGGATAAGAAGGAATCCTGAGCTGACTAAGAGGTGATTGGAATACGAACCGACCAGGGCATTTTGGGTACTTCAAGTAGGTATTTCCTTCTATATAAAGGGACTGAGGTAACCATAAACCCCAACTTCTACTCATTCTATACACTTTCCATCTCTCTGATGCTGCTGCTCTCTCTGAGCAGATCTCTCTCATCTCTTTCTTATACTGACTTGAGCGTCGGAGGCTCTATGCCGAAAAAACTTCCGGCGTTGAGTTCTTGTAGGTGTTTACGGTGGTCTAGAGGTGATTTGGAGGCGGTCCGAACAGATCGGAGCTTAAAACCAACGGTTCACTCCAGATCTGGGAGTAGACCCATCAGTAATGATTGTGACATATGAAGATATATATGAGAATGAAAAATGTGAATGAAAAATTAGTACCGTATTGTAGATTTTGTGTCTCCAACAAATAAATCTATACTCTGTATGAGATATATACACAATATATTTGTTCAAAATTTAAATTCAAACATATAAGTTAAAGATGGTATATACCAAAAAACTCTGTACTTTAAATGTTTGAATTTAATTTTTGACCGAAAATTTTCAAATTATTTAGGCGGGATTTTCAAAAAGTTTCAAAAAAAAGTTACTATGTTAAGTAAATTTTTAGGCTGGAATCTAATTATTTTCTAATTATTATTTCAGATTTTTTTGGATTGTCTCTTTTTATAATAATAGATGTGCATTGGATGAAAATACTCCTAATATCGTTTTATAAAACATCCTTAATATCATGGTATTTTGATATGCATCACCATGTTTGTAAATACATTTTCTTTTCAATTTTGTTTTCTCTATCATCCTTTCATTCATTTATTATTATAATAAATATTATTATTATTAAAAATATTATTATTATTATATACATACATATATATATATATATATATATACGCAAATATTTTTTGGTTTTGTTATATCATTATTTTATGAGAATAAAAATGGTTTGTAAAGTTTGTAGCATTTGAAAAAAATTTATTTGATTACATAAATTTTATTTTTAACATTTTAAAATTGGTATGTTTATTTTTATATTATCCTAATTTTACGAATGTTTAAAATATTTGAAAATATCTTAGGAAAGATTAAATATTTCGGTTTATGATATTATGGAAAGAACAATAACGATTGGGTAAATCTTAATAATGAAAACATTTTTTCTTTCAATTGTGAAAATGAGAAGAAAAAAAATTATTTTTAGTGGGTTCAATATTGAAATATCTCTATATTAATAGGACTGATTGTGATATTTTTCCATGTCATTCGCCATGCAGGAGTTAAATAAGCCAGTTGTAATATTATTAAGACATGTCGGCATGACGTGTCATTTTCGGGCTGGAAAGGGTAGTTTCGACAATAATTGTCCTTATTTTGATTGAATTTAAAAAGTTAGTAGACTAGTTTTGAGAAACACCATTCCAATGGGACCAAATATGAAAAACCCGAATACAACGGGCTAGTTTTGATATTTTTTCTAAAATTATTAATAAATTCATATATAACTATGCATAACATACAAAATACATTTTATAAAGTATATTAATTCTTATAAATATTATATACTTTTATAATTTTTAATATTAACTTTACATTCTTATTATCATTTTATAATTTTTAATAATTATACATTTTATGTANCACGCCCTAGAGAGGCGGGACTAATCCATCCAGGAGGAGCAGGGTGCCCCATCCCAACTCCCCACGGTAGTAGGGATCGATTCCCCAACCTCTGCCTTCAACATGACTTTATCACTCCAGCAGGTGCCAGTGGACCTCACGCCCCTAGGGCAGAGCGCCTCATTCTAAACATGCGGAAACTTAAGAGCATGCTTGTATGCAAAAATTTTACTCAAAATTTCAGTTAACTCAAAATTTAATCCAACTTCAATTTCCTCAATATTATTAATATAATTAAATAATCAATCACCCTATCATTCTTACACATCACATATACATTAGTTTTCAACTCACATAATTTTAACTAACAATTACTTCGTATTATCTCTCTTACACTTTTACTAGTATTCAACCTTGTGCATTTGCACAATGTAAATAGGATATTATAAGTTACATTTATGCATATAGTATTAAAATTATAAGTTATACAATGATATTATATTGTAATCATAGAGTATTATAAGTTATATTTATGCATATAATAATAAAAATATAAATTAGATAATGATATTATGTTTTAAAATTTGATCATTGGTTAAAATAAATAGTACATAACCATTTGATTGCATATGAACCACTATATTAATTAGATAAAATATAATAAATAATGTAATATTGAGAGATCGCCAATTTATTAGCTTAAAATATTAAATTTATTATAACATTTGATTATGCGATTTTAAGGAATTTTACTATAACATTAAAATAAATTAATTTATTTAAAAATACAATCGCTAAATAAGATAAAAAAAATATAATATTAATTTTAAAATAAATAGCTTTAGCAAAAAGTTTAAAATAATTTTTTATGTTTATACAACTTTCATATATCATTTAGTGTAAACTATAGTTATTAGTTTTAATAATAACTATTATATGATATAATAAAATAGTATAATTTTTACTCCGTTAATATAAAATGTAACGATTTTTGTCTTAATTAATCATAAAAAATGTGCA